TTGTTAATATATTATTATTTTCACCTATTTTTATTTTTAATCTGTCCATTGGAAAATTTTGCATTTGTGACTTGAATTATATTTCTGTGAGATAGCACTGGTCTAGATGGGATCAACAAAGTGGCCTGCAGCCTGCCTCTGTTTGTAGCAAGTTTTATTAGAACCAAGTCATGCCCATTCATTTATGTGTTTTCTTTGTCTGCTGTTTCTGCTCCAGGAGCAGCAGAGTTGAGTAGTCCATGCAGGGCTGGTGTCACCTGCAGAGCCTAAAATATTGAATCTGACCTTTTACAGATGTTCACCCAACCCCTGTTCTGGAATAGTAGATATTTTTAACCTTTTATTTGTAGAACTATCTAATTTTCAGTCAGGTTTGTTATATGATGTGCATAGTTCTAAGTACTTTATAAAGACTGTCTCATTTAATTCTCATTTAGTCCTAGGATACTGGATATCCCCCATTTTGTAGATGAGGAAACTGAGGCACACGGTAGTTAAGAAACTTAGCTTAAAAAAAAAAACTTAGCTAACTTGCTCACTTCCTTTCACTTCTGGGAACTGTTATGCAAAAGACTTGACTTCTCAGACACACTTTCTTAGCCCACAGTGAACACCATGGTTTGCTTTGATCTTGGAATTTTAGAGGTAGAATTGAGAGAGGCTAGTGACACACCTGTAATCCCAGCACTTGGGAGGCTGAGGCAGGAGGATCGCCAGGCATTTGAGGCCAGCCTAAGCTATATAGTGAGTTCAAAGTTAGCCAGAACTGCATAGCCAGACTCTGTCCCCGCCCCCCAAAAGAAAAGCCAGGCATGGTGACGCACACCTGTAATCTCAGCACTGGGAGGCTGAGGCAGGAGGATCATTGTGAGTTCGAGACCAGCTGGGGCTACAAAGTGAACTCAAGGCCATCCTGAACTGCAAAGCAAGACACTGTCTCAAAAACACACACTCACAGAGAGAGAGAGAGATGGGCTTGGCCTCCCAGGGAAGAAGCCAGGTGGCATTGGGTTTAAGTGCAGTGAGCACAAGCACACTGGTCTGTACTGAAAAGAAATGAACCTCACAGCAGAGAGAAGAGAGAAGATCCTGGGTGCTTGGCCACCTGTTTAACAAAAGAAAATACTAGTTGAGTAATAGTAAGCACGGCAGGTGTATATGGTGAATAAAACAGATGTGCTTATTTCCTTATTTTCTTATAGGGAAGACAGACAAAAAATTATTTTCAAATGTGATAGAAAAATCATTGTGCAATTATGTGATATTTTAAGAGGTTTTGCTCACTTGCAGGACTGAGATAAGCTGTATCACTGCCTTGGGCTTGTTATGCAGATGGAGATTACATGAACGTGTATGACATGTAGACTTGCTCAGTGCCACCGTCAAGAGGTAAGCAAGCGAGTGGATCTCGAGAATTCTATACATTATGGCACTTAAGACATTACAGTGGCAGGTGTAATTTGTAGAGTTTCTCAGGTGAGTTGTACAGGCGATGTTTCAGTACTTTCTGATTTAGTTAAGACTTGCCTAGCAAAATCCACAGTCGGAGAGGTTCTGTACCTTTGCTCAAGAAGCGGGACTGCAGACGTCTTTGGGCCTGATGGCAGCCTGTCTAGGAGGTCCTGCTGTGCTTTAGGGCCAGCGGGGTTGGGGGTTGTGCGTGTGTGTAGTTTAAAATTACATCAGCTGGAAAACTGAACAAACACCCAGGCCCTACCCTCAGAGAGTCTTATTCATTCTGTGTAACTGAGGCTCTGGCATTATTTTATTTTCTCATTGTTTATTTTACCCCCAGATGGTTCTAATTTGCAAGCAGGGTTGAGAAACAGCCAGAGAGAGAGACACACACAGACACAGACTGACTCAGGGACCAGCTGGAGCAAAAGTACAAAGCTGTGAAATGGGCAGTGCCCATCTGGGGTTGAGAGTAGTTGTGGGGGAGTCCTGGGGGCACTTTTCCTCACCTGGCTGCGGAGCTTGGGCTGTATCCCGCAGGCAAAGGGGCACCTTTGAAGGGCTTTAAGCAGGACAAGGAGAGACTGTCTTGCAGCGTTCTGTACTGGAGGGTGGTCCCTCTGACAGCACCAGCAATTGGAGTGAAGGCAGTGAAGGAAGCATTTGGAACTGGACATATGGTGGAGAGCCCAAGCATGGTTAGGAATCCACCTCCTGTGCGTTGTGATTGGCCAGTTTCTCCCAGTCATACCCACTAGGCTGTCAGCTTCTTTCTTGGCCAAAACTCTTTAGCCTCAGCACCCAGCACATTCTAGCTGCATGATAAATATTTGTGGAGCGAATTAGGTGGAACCAAATTGACATGCAACTTACTTTATCCTTGGATGGTTGTTCTCAAGATTCTATGTCCCACTGGCTTCCCTGTTATAGCTTTTTAGGCAGTAAGTACTTTATATCCACATGGTTCTTTCACACGGAGAATAGAAAGTAGGACAGGATTTAAGTGCTATGAAAAATATGGAAGAAAATGGCAAAGCAGTATGGGGAATGTTCATAATCTTAAAAATAGAATTAGCATATGATCTAGCAATTCTACTTCTGGTATACGTCCAACAGAAATGAGAGCAAGGGCTTGAGGGGATAGTTGTATACTCGTGTTCACAGCGGCATTCTTCACAGCAGCCAAAAAGGCAAAGCAACCCAGGTGCCCATCAGCAGACGAATGGACAAGCAAAATGTGGCCTGAACATGCAGTGGAGTGTTGCTTAGCCTTAAGAAGGCAGGAAATTTGGACACATAGTACAGTAGGGATGAACCTTGAGAATCACATGTGAAATAGAATAAGCCAGACCCAAAAGGAGAGGCACCCTATGATTCCACTTCTGCGAGGTCTGAGAGTAGAGCACTCCACAGGGACAGAAAGTAGAATGTGGCTGCCGGGGCGGGAACCGGAAGCTGTTTAGTGGGCACGAAGGTTCAGCTCTGTGGACAAAAAGAGTTACAGAGACAGCTGCACAGCGGTGCAAACATATTTAACACTGCTGGGCTCTCCATGTAAAAAGGGGTAAAGTGGTAAATTTCATGTTTTATATGGTTTCCCATGGTTAAAATTTTTAAACAAATATTAAGAAAAGGCAAATGAACCAAACATATGAAAGCTGGGAATGTAGCTCAGTGGTAGAGCACTTGCCTAGAATGTGCAAGGACCTGGGTTCCACCCCAAGCACCAAAAGAAGAAAATACGTAATGTGCTTTTGGGTTGTTCACACATGAATACATTAACTTCTGCAGATTTGTACAAGTAAAGTGAATGTTGCTCTGTGCAGAAACTTTCCAGCGAGTGGGGCGGGGCCCGAGTGTCCCAAGCAGCTTGAAACCTGCCACATGGCTCAACCGCTTAACTTCTCCAGCCTCTGAAGCTGCCACTTCGAGATATGCACAGCTATTGAGGGCATGTGTTTTTATATTTCTGTGCTATTCTGCCTGTTTTTTGTTATCAAGCTTTTGATTCTTTTTCTTTCTATTTTTTTTTTTTTTTGGCAGGGAGACAGGGTCTCACTTTGCAACCCAGGCTGGCCTTGAACTCACAGCAATCCTCCTGCCTCAGCCTCCCAAGTGCTGGGATCACAGGCATGCGCCACCATACCCAGAAAGGCTTTGATCCTTAGGAAGACCGCTTTTACTGTTTGCAGTCTCTGAAAGTAGAATTTTCAAAAGGAAAAAGAATGACCTGTAAGTATCCATTTTCAATAATCAGGCAGATTATCTGAAGATCTTGAATTGATAGTCCACTGAGTGACTGTTACGCTGGCTTTAAAAAACAAAAGAGTAACTACTCAAGTTTTCTCCATAGCAGTGTCAAAAATTGCAAACGGCAGACTCTCAGGCATCATTGAGCTACCCCTGCAGGGAAACGGCAGCGGCTAGGAAGCTCAGAGTTACAGCCAAGGCTGTGCTACCTCTTTGTGTTTCGGGACAGAGTTTAAGGCAATATTCCAGCTCTTTGAGATTCACTGTTCACGTTTTGAGGAGATGGCAAATGCACAGAGTGGCAGGGGCTGTAAGTACCTGTAAGAGACCACCTTCTTCCCCACGAAAGGTGGGGTTGACTAATCTCCTTCCCCTGCTGTTTTTCAATAGGCAGGTATCTCCAGTATATGTAATTTATAAAGGAAAATACATGCAAGCTCATCATGAAAAAGAGTAGAACAAATAAAAATCACCCAAACGCTTAGCATGCAGAAAATACCACTCTTACACTTTTGTGTATTTCTTTATAGCCATTTCACATGTGATTCTAACACCTTTATTCAGATGTAATTCACCTACTGTACAGTTCACCCATTTATTTATTTTATTTTTTAATGCAACCGTGGTTTTTATTGTTACATATTAGTTTTATCAAATTTATACAACATAGGGCTCTCTGTATGATTCTGACAATGTTTAAAAAAATTTTTGTTTTCCATTTTTAGAAATGCATTTGTTTCTATTAGTACATTTGCAATTCTTGTTTGTAATTCTTGGTTTTTTTGTTTTTGTTTTTGTTCTTTTTTGGTTTTTTTTCCCCAGTACCGGGAATCGAGCTCACAACCTTGCGCTTGCCGGGCAGGCACTGTGCCGCTGAGCTAAATCCCCAGCCCCTCTTGTTTGTAATTCTTGCAGTTTACAGTCCTCTTGGGCATGGTTACCTGTACATACTATAGCTTGTCTCTTTTTTTAAATTCCCTCCCCCTTCCCTCCCTCGCCCCACCCCACTGGTTCCCCATCCCCTTTTCTGTACTTGTCTTTTTTTTTTTTTTTTTGAGACAGGGTCTCGCTATGCAGTTCAGGCTGGCCTCAAGCTCACTTTGTAGCCCAGGCTGGCCTTGAACTCACAGCGATCCTCCTGCCTCAGCCTCCTGAGTGCTGGAATTATAGTTATGTGCCACCATGCCCGGCTTTTCCATACTTGTTGATATTATTTGTCTTAGCTCATGTTGTAACATATAGTGTTCACAGAAATTACGGTTGTTAGCTTCCTGTGCATGGCACATCTTTAGTCCTCTCATTTCTCTTTCCCCTCCTCCTCCCCCCTCTCCTTGTTCCCTTGGACCACTTCTCTATTCCAAGAAATCTGTCCCTTTGTCCCTTTCTATCCATTCTTATCATTCTCTTTGTACATTGCCTCGCTCAAATGAAAGAATCCATATGGTATTTGAGCTTGTGTGTATGGTATACTTTACTCAACATTATATTTTCCATTTGCATCCTTTTTCCTACAAGTGTCTCAAGTGTCATTCTTTAGAGCCTAGTAGTATTCCATTATATATAGATCCCACATTTTGTTTATCCAGTCATTTGTTGATGTCACCCGTTTATTACTTGGTTTTGTTTTTTGAGACAGCGTCTCGCCATGTCTTCCAGGCTGGCCTTGAACTCACTGTGTAGCCCACAGTGGCATCAAACTCATGGCAGTCCTCCTACCTCAGCATCCTGAGTGCTGGGATTGCAGGCATGGGTCACCATGCCCAGCAATCACCCATTTCAAGTGGTTCTTAGTATGTTCATAGTTGTGTAACCCATTGCCGAAATCAACTTGAGATTTTTATCTTTTTTCCCAAGAAAAGCCCTGTACCCATTAGCAGCCTCGCCCCTTTCCCTTGTACTCCACTGCCCTTCTCCCTGAGCCATACCTAATCAACTGCTGTTTCTCTCTTTATAGATTTGGTTATTCTAGACATTTCCTGTGAAAGAAATACAATATGTGGTGTTTTTGTGTCTGGCTTCTTTCACTTATCATAATGTCCTCAAGGCTCATCCACATTACGACGTGAATCAGTACTTCATTTCTGTCTGACTAAAAGTATTCTATTGTATGGATATAGTACATTTACTTATTTACTAAGTTAATGCACATTTGGGGTTTTTCCATTTTTTAGCCATTATGACTAATACTGCTATGACTGTAAAAAGAAGCTTTTGCATGGACATATTTCATTTCTCTTGATTAGATCTGTTGGATCATATGGTAAGTCAGTGTTGAATCTGGTGTCTACTTAGTTCCACATCCAGATTTTTTTTGTATAGCTTCATGTAATGATTGTTTTCCCATGTCATTAAATATTCTCTAAAATATAATTCTAAATTGTTATATTATTATATCATTCTAAGAGTGTGCTATATTTTTAACCATTCTTCGGTCTTGTGCCCTTCTCATTTTCTTCTGAGTTTGAAGAAAAGCCTTACATACACATCCTCCACATATCTCACATCCTTGAAGTCATTTTACAGACGTAGAATAACTGACTAAAGTTACATTTCATATTAGGGCAATTGTCAGGTGGTTTCTAGGGAGGTTGCATCAATTTGTTCCTGTAATTCAGTATTGTTACCCTGGATATGTTTAGTGATGATTATTTAATATAAAATGGAGCCCATGGAATTTGAAAAGATCTAGTCCTTGCCATCAGAATGTTTACAGTGCATTCCCATTTAGACCAGACAGATGAATGTAAATCTAGGCAGGGTGCATTGTGTAGAGAGAAAAACACACCAGTTAGATAAAGTAAATATTTGCCTGCCCATGAGGAGATTCATGTAGACATAATCATCTAGCAACTTCTTGCACTTAAAAATTATTTTGAAAAACAAAAATGTAGGAGCTGGCCTGAGACAGGAGGATCACAAGTTCAAGCCCAGCCTGGGCAATTTAATGACTTAGCCAGAACCTGTCTCAAATAAAAATAAACTATAGACTGGGCCTATAGCTCAGTATAAAGGCCGTGAGTTCAGTCCCTAGCACTGAAAACCAAAACCAAAAACCACCCGTATGAAAACCAGTTAGTCCAAAGTCATAAATCACTCGGATTGTTTACCCTGTTGTTCAAAAGACTCAGATGGCCACACAGTGCAGCCTGTTGGCTTTTGGAACCCACTGCACCTAGCTATAGCTGCTGCCCATTCTATGCTGTCCTAAAATTTCTTTAGGTTCCTTGAGACATCCGCATCCTTCTTTCCACTTGTTTTTTATTCTTTCATGTGTAGACAAGCACCACTTTAAAGATATAAAATCAGCAAGTATTTCAGTTATATTGCTGAATATGAGGGAAAAAAACAACCCAGCATTGCTCAGCATTACCATATTGATGCTGACACGGGCATGATTTCATCCCCAGCATGATCAAGTTCCACCCAAATGAACTGACTAATCTTGGTCTAGAAAGACACTGATTTATACAGTAGGAGATAGAAAAAGTTAGAGCTGATCCTCCAACTAAGCCTCTTTTAATGTGGCCAGATACCATTTTTTTCTTCAACTACTGGGAATGAAACTCTTGAAACCCTTATCATTCCACATCTCACTTATCATTTCGTGACACATCACACGCATTTCCATTACCTTACTCCTTCAGAAAGCAGTGCAAGGGTAACTGGTAGAAAGTGCTCTTCCATTATCCAGGAGCTCTGACTAGAAAAAGTGAGCCTAAGAAAATTGAAACTTCTTTGTTTCTTTGCAGCTGTAAAGATGTCTGACAGAAACCTCACAGCTGCCAAAGCTTCCCTTATTGAGCAACTGATGTCTAAAAGGAATTTTGAGGATCTTGGCAACCATCTCACTGAACTAGAGATGATTTATGTGACCAAGGAGCATCTCCAGGAGACAGATATAGTCAGAGCTGTGTACAGAGTCCTCAAGAACTGTCCCTCTGTGGCTTTGAAAAAGAAAGCCAAGTGTTTGCTGTCAAAGTGGAAAGCGCTTTATAAGGATACTCACTGCAAAACAAGGGACGGCTTTAAGTTACCCTCCCCAGGTGGTAGTAAGGAAGAAAATGCAGGACTCTCTCATGACCAGAGTCAAGATGAGGTGGTGGGTGGTACTAGTTCTGATTCTCTGCCCTGCTCCCAAGATGTTGCAACTCCTACCAAAATGATCATGCCTCTGAATAGCACTAGTCAAATGGACCCTAAGGAAGAGCATTTTGGGGATGGTTACCCTAAACCCACCAGCAGTGGATCAGACGAGTTGCTGGATCCCATGATGCCCATGAGAACCAAATGCATCGAGCTTCTTTACAGAGCTTTAACAAGTTCTTCCACAGATCAGGCAAACACCGATTTGTGGCAAAACTTTGCAAAAGAAATCGAAGAGCACATTTTTACCCTTTACTCAAAGAACATCAAAAAATATAAAACCTGTATCAGAAGTAAAGTGGCCAATTTGAAGAACCCCAGCAATTGTCACTTGCAACAAAACTTGCTCTCGGGGACCATGTCTCCAGAAGAATTTGCCGAGATGACCACCATGGAGATGGCAAACCAGGAACTAAAGCAGCTGAGAGCTGCCTACACGGAATCCTGTATCCAGGAACATCGCCTTCCCCAAGTGATGGACGGCACACAGACAGACAAAATCAAATGCAGACGCTGCGAGAGGTACAACTGCAAGGTCACTGCGATTGCCAGAGGGACACTTTTCCTTCCAAGTTGGGTGCGGAATTCAAAGCCAGATGAACAAATGATGACCTATGTGATTTGTAATGAGTGTGGCGAGCAGTGGTACCATAGCAAGTGGGTGTGCTTGTAACTGGCAATGGATGTCCCTTAGTAACAGATACCTCGAGGGATAACTTATATTGTACAACCCTTTTGTGCTTGTTGAAAAAAACTTAGATATACCATTCTTTTTTTTTTTAAGTTGAAAAAGCATACTTTATTTTAGTGGCAAGCATTTTCATGACTATTAAGAGGCATGGTTGGGCTCATAAGCAGAAGTGTTTCATACAACCTGGATTTATTTCGTGTCATATGTATGCATATATATGTGTGTAAATTTTTTTCCAGTGTCCTCAAAGTCTCTTACACTTTAAGTTCATGTGAAACTGTTTATTTTTGTAGTACTGGGGATTGAACCCAGGGTCTTCTCACTGAGTTACATGCCCAGCCCTTTTTATTTTTTTTTATTTTGAGTCAGAATCTTGGTCAATTTCCCAGGCTGGCTTCAAACTTGTGATTCTATTGCCTCAGTTTCCTGAATAGCTGGGACTACAGGCATGTACCACCACAGCTGTCTCAAAACTGTCTTTTGGCCAGGTGTGGTGGCGCACACCTGTAATCCCAGCACTCAGGAGGCTGAGGCAGGAGGATCATTGCAAGTTCGAGGCCAGCCTGGGCTACAAAGTGAGCTCAAGGCCAACATGAACTGCATAGTGAGACCTTGTCTCAAAAAGACAAAAAACTCTCCTGTCTTTTTTTTTTTTTTTTTTTTGGTTTTTCTCCGGTACCGGGAACTGAACTCACGACCTTGCGCTTGCCAGGCAGGCGCTTTGCTGCTGAGCTAAATCCCCAGCCCCTTCCCTGTCTTTTGTTGTTGTTATTCTTGTTCTTTTGAGACAGTCTCACTATATAGTTCAGGCTGCCCTTGAACTCACTATGTAGCTCAGGCTGGTCTCAACTCCAGGCAGTCCTCCTGTCTCAGCCTCCTGAGGGCTGGGATTATGGATGTGCACCACCACACCGGAAAAAACTGTTTTGTTTTTTTTAACAGGGTCTCACTGTGTAGTGCAGGCTGGTCTTGAACTCACTTATGTAGCGCAGGCTGGCCTCGAACTAACAGCAGCCCTCCTGCATCAACCTGCCGAGTGCTGGGTTCATAGGCGTGTACCACCACGCCTGGCTAAAACTTTCAATAAGGTAAACACAAACACAAATCTGCTGACCAAGTATCTGTTCTCTAGGGTTATTGTCTGACTTAGGATACTGTTCTTCCTAGCTATAAACAATCCTAGATTTTCTATTTGTCTCACCAGTTACTAAGTTTATGAGTTAAATAAGACAGAATTGCTTGTAAAAGCCAAATGCCCTGTTCATACACAGGTTTGTGGTGCTCACATCAGTGTGGGTGGAATAGAAAGTCAGCTGAGACTGTTGGTGTGAGGTTACAGGTTGATGTGTCCTCGGGGGTCTCTGGAGAGGCCAATCTGTAAAATAGGGTGTGAATATGTCTGAGCCTTAGCAGTATCAGGAAGACAGTGATCAAGAAAATTAGTAAGTATTGTTGCTACAGTATTTTTCTCATGGAATTTAGATTGTTTGTTGCTTATTTTACCCATTGAATTGGCATATAAAATTTATACTTTCTTAAAGATCTCTTCTTCCTAAGGCCAGACTAGCTTTGATAATTTAAAATATAGGATACACAAATAGGGGTATAGCTCTGGTAGAGTGCCTGGCTTGCATGCGTAACAAGAAAACAAAAACCAAACACCACCAAACCCCAGAATACATAGTATACAAATTGCCTCTGTACACGTGTGTGTGCATGTGGTACCTGGGATTGAACGCACGGCCTCTGTACTGAGCTATGTCCCCAGCTCTTTTTTGAGACAGGGTCCCCCTAAGTTGCCCAGGTTAGCCTGGAACTTGTGATTTCCCTGCCTTAATGTCCCAGAGGGCTGGGATTAGAGACATGTGCCACCTCACCCAGCTGTAAATTGCCTTGATTTTAATAATCTGCCTCTTTATTTTATTTATTTATGGGGGTGAAACAGGGTCTCACTTTGTAGTCCAGGCTGGCCTTGAACTCATGGTAATCTTCCTGCTTCAGCCTCTTGAGTGCTGTGATTATAGGCATGTGCCACCATAATCTGCCTCTTTAAAAAAGTACAATGCTGTCTTCTTACTTTCTGCCAATTCTGGAGCTTAAAATGAATTGGGAAAAGAATAAGCAAAGGACTCCAAGAATGCCAGCATAGTATGTACTGTATATACTTTGTCTACGAGACCAACACAAGCAGCTACTATTCTGCCTCAAAAATGAATGAGTACTACAATGCATTATTTGAAACTAAGTCCAAATATTCTCCCTGTTTAGCTCAGATATAGCTACCAGAAGAGGTAGGTGTCACATATCATCCACATTTCTTTATTCCCGGTGAAAACATTTGCAAATCACAGGAACACTTCTAGAACCCTTGCAGAGAAAGGCAGTTTCCTGAGAAGTGAATCCCTTCCTTGGGGTAGAGTATGGAAGCCCTGGATAAGACCAGTTGCAGAACTTAGCTCTTGAGGCTAATCTTTTGAAACAGCCTCCACCTTTAACTGTGACACCCCACTCTAACGAAAACTGAGGCAGAATATTCAGCTTTTACCTTGCACTGTTCACATCCTAAAAGAAGGGGCTCCTCTGAAAAAGAAGGTCCCAAAGAGAAGTAACAGGGTCCCAAAGAGCAGCTGCTTCTCCCAATTTCTGACAGAATTGGTAGAGATCAAGAGCCATTTCTTTATACTAGCTTTTGGGAATCTTCAACCATTTTGGCAAGCTAAATCTAGACTAGTGAATCCTACACCCAGTAAAAATCCTAAGCAGTCGCCTCAAGCTTGTGAACCAGACAAACTGGCAGCTAAAACATACTAAAGAAACAATAGGACTGTGTTTAAAACAGGCAGGCAATGTCCTATAGTGAGTGCTGCTCCTAAAGCTGTGATGTGTGATTGAGTTCTAGCAGTCATAAGCACAGAGATGTCTTCGCAAAATAACAAGAGTTTTCATGAATGATAAACATTAGCTTACTTTGCTCCTTTAGATACTTAAAAAACACAGAGTAACTATTTTCTATTTGATTTCCTTGTTGAATTGTATTGCGCTCAGAGTCACACTTCTAACTTGCTTTTCCTAAACTAGCTAGGGTATCCTGATTCAAGTGTAATATGGATAGTTGTGTCCTGTCAGCACTAAAACAAACAAAATCAAAAGAGTTTTGTGTTTTCCAGTAATATGACTATTTTAAAAGAAAGTTCAGTTATTCACTCAGGAGCCTGAGGCGAGAGGATTCCTGTGAGTTCGAGGCCAGCCTGCACTACATAGTGAGACCTTGCCTCAAAATCGAAAACAAAAGAAAAGAAAGTTTAATTATTGTGACATGTTGATTAATGCAGAAACAGAAATGGTCAGAACTGGGGGCACGTGGTGTTTATTCCCCCTCCCCCAGTGCATCACACCCTCTGCAGAAGAAATAGTCTAGTCATTCGCTTAAGACCAGACAGCTACAAATAGAAAGAACGTCGTACTGGGGCTTATCTCAGACCTGGTTTTACAGTTCGGAACTAAATAAACAAAACAGCTCTGCATCATTAGGACTGGATCTTGTTTTGTGTAGAGACCTTCTTCAGAAGCCCATTCCCAGTCTTATCTGTGACCTGCAAACAACAGTAGAGAGAATATTTTTGGAAATATTTGTCAGTATGCTTTATCCCAGTCCCTAGCTATACCAGATCCCAAATCTCTTTCCATACCATGCACTGTTTGTCTGTTTTCTTTGTAAACTGGATCTCACTATGCAGTTCAGGTTGGCTTTGAACTCACTATGTTACTCAGGCTGGCCTTGAACTCCTGGCGATTCTCGTGCCTCAGCCTCCCAAATGCTGTGTGCCATCCATTTTAAAACTAAACCAAACTGAAGCTGGAAAACCAAAACTGGTCTTGAAAGGCTGGGGGTGGAGCTCAGCGGTACTGCATGTGCTTAATATGCACAAAGCCCTGGGTTCCATCCATCACATCAGACGACAAAAACACAGCAACAACAAAAAACCAAACTCCCACAAAAACTGATCTCCGGAGATTAGGAAGTCTCCTTGTAATGCACCACAAGGTGCTAGGATAGTTGGAGCCTTCAGTGTTCTAGAAATCTAAGCCATTATACACATCCCAGGGCAGCCGCCAATGCCCTCACACATTTAAACCTTGAAGTTTGATCAGATGTCGCACACAGGCGGAAAGCTTGTCTCTCCTGATCATTCCAGTCTTCATCCCTACGCAGCCCACACCTACTCTGACAGCTTGTGCACTTTCTAGCTGGAGTGTAGGGGGAGAAGTAAAACAGATCTAACCTATGTTGGAAATATTCAGACAGTGAGATGTCCTGAGTTTTCTAAACAAAACCAGAGTAGTCAGAAGATGTTCTTCTGCATATGAGGGTTCTTGAATCAAATTAGTGAGGACTCAAAGAGTGGAGGGGGGAAAGGCACTTGTCAGTTTGAAAGTCACAGACACTTTTTATCACTCAGATAAGGAGAAAAGATGAACTTGGATAGCAGGAAGAAGCAAAGGGTCTTCTAGGGTCTTCTAAGCATTGGAGAAAGAAACTCCGTTGTGTGCAGTTCTATTGCTTTTCCCTGGCAGAACATATGGCAGAGCTGTGGGTATTCACCTGCCCGAAGCCAGGTTACTCTGATGTGTCATAACTATGTTGCTAGCAGAACTGTTGTTGCCACAGAAAGAAGCTGGCTGTGCCCCAGACAAATGGGGTGCTAGTTTGTTCCCACAAATCACGTCTTCATCGCAAGGGAAGCACTGCCGTGTGCTGTCAGCCAGCGCTTCTTGTCCACAGTTCCTGGCCTGGTTGACCGTGTCCCACTCGGTACAACTCATGTCATCACAGCCTGAGATATGTGACTGAGCTCGGCCCCAGGAACCTGATGGCGAGCATTGAAGGGCCAAGCAGCCAATTTGCTTGCGACAACAGGATGGTTCTTTCTGCACTTGGTAAGATGATAAGGAAACCTGAAGGCCTTCATCTGGTGGTTTTTATCACAGGGACGCTGTAATGGCTTTTCAGGGCCGGGCAAGGCAGTGTCAGTGTCTTCCATGCTGAAGACATGGAGCCCATTTCAGTTGCTCAGTGTTGCCATGCTCGCCCCACGGCTGTGCCTGGGCAATGCCCACTTCTGGTCCCTGGTGCCAGCGAGAGAAACCATTCTGAAGACAGTCCTAAGAAGAGGGAAAGAAAATAGTTTGCTCATGCACCCACCACTATCACTAAGAGTTTTCCTTTGGGGA